TTCAATTAGCTTGCAATATATTATTTTATGTAAATGCATAATGTTTCAATCAAATAAATATAATATATATCAACAAATCAATGATTAACATCGATTATGATTGTATTACCCAAAATGAAACTGCTTTCCAACAATATCCATTGGCAATCGATCATTAATATCCTAACCAATCATTCTTTAGCATGATTACATTCAAATACTAACTATATGCGTTGGCAATCAATTGCAAACCACTTCAATTGGCAATCAATTATTAACACACCAACTGATTAACATTGATCATGATTACAAATAATTGCAAACTATTCTCGTTGAAAATCGATTGCCAACCATATACATTGGCAATCGAGCATCAACAACTCACCGATTAGCAACAATCGTGATTGCAATCGATTGCAATTAATTCTCGCTAGTAATTGATTAGCTACCTTATACATTAATAATTGATTATCAACATCCCCACCGATTGGCATCAATCGTAATTGCAATCGATTGCAAATAGAACTCGTTGACAATCAATTACTGACGATTTCCATTGGCAATCAATCATCAACACATCATCATTTTCTATCGTTAGTAATTGCAATCAATTGCTAATGATGTTCTTTAATGATTTTCGAAAGCAATCGATTGTTAGCAATTATAATCGATTTTAATCGCTGACAATCAATTATAATCTCTATTGATAATGAATGATGGGGATGTTAATAATCAATTGCCAATGGGCATGATTATAAATTGATTGCCAATGGGTATAGAAATTTCCTGATGATAAGTAATTTAGCTAGTAAAATAATCTAGATAAACAAAAAAAATAGAGTAATATAATAATAATTACTTATAAATGATTCTATTAGTATTATTACAAGTTTGTTTACTAATTATTAAATTAGCTTACAAATTTGAATCTGAATTGGAAGAGAGTGATAGATTGATAAAAATATTAAAAGAAAAAGAAAGATATCTAAGATCTATATCAATTTCTATAGAAATTGTATTTATTTAAAAATAATAATATGTGAGAGTTATGAAAGAGTAAAAGTCAAAAAAAAAAGGATATAAAGAAATAAAAGAATAGTAAAAGAAATTTAAAAGATTAATTCTCTATACTTATATAAAGCTTTTCAGAGCTAAGGCAATATAATTAGTAATAACAATAACAAAGACTCTTTCATTTTGTTCTTATAAGTGAGGAATATTTGTTAACAATCAAAAATTCAAATAACAAAAATTCAAATACTTAATATCCAATTTCAATAATTTTAATACAATGATTTGTTCAGCACAATGTGATATAAAGTTATCAATGATTTGTTAGATACAATATGATATAAGATCACTTATATACAAGATTTGAAGTATAAAAAATATAAGAAATAAGAGGTATTTGAAAGAAGATTTTTGTTAAAAGAGATTTTTATTTTCAGTTACAATATGTCAAGTTAAGGTTCAAATAATATTTTTATTTATACATTTTTTGAAAATACAATTTTAAATAATAATAACTATCTAAAAGATAAAATCACTAATCAAAAAGATATAATAAAAGTAAAAAATAAAATAAAAAAGGTAAAAGTAAAATAAAAGATAAAATAAAAGGTAAAAAAATAAAAGTAAACTAAAAGGTAAAAGGTAAAAAATAAAATAAAAGGTAAAAGATAAAATAAAGATAAAATAAAAGATAAAAGGTAAAAAGTAAAATAATTTGAGAGATCTTTGTTATTATATAAATATTTTATGTTTTTCAACTATTTTTGAAATTAATGATTTTTATATTATTACTATAATAGTACCTTATATAGAGAACATAAAATAAAGATTTTATAAAGAAAAGTATATTTGTGTGTGTGTAATAAAATAAAGTTTGTTTATTATATTATTAATAATTATGTAATTTATAAATTCAAATAATAATTCGAAAAAATCATACTGGTTCGAAAAGATTACATTATCTCTAAGCACTATTCGTAAACTTTTATTTTAATTAACATTTTTCAATCACATGACCCGACATTTTATTTTAGTTAGACGTATGTATTCGGAGATCGATCGAATATGATCAGCATCGGTCGTAATCACGTGATCCGACACTTTTTTTCGCCGTGTCTAGAATATTATTAGAAATTTGATTGACTACCAAAATAAATATTAGCCACATTTGATCACGTGTTCATATGCTTTAGTGAAAAGTATATGTAAAATTGTCTTCCCGTCATTTTTTATTAGTGATAAAAGTTAGGTTTAAGCATATATTTCCCGTATTCTTTGCAATGTTCATTTTCTTGTTCGGATTTGTTTGCCGGGTTGATCAAAAATTTGCGCATCCTCATTGGAAAAGGGATCAAGCAAACAAAAAATGTATTTATCGTTATAGTAAAATTTCGCAAGAACATTTTTTGTTAGATTTTGCATAATGCTCCGTCAAATGTTTGTTAATATCTGGTATAGTCACTTTATTAGATACTACAGAAACGCCATTCTTTTCATAATCACAAAATCATCTTCTCTCAGTATTCTGCCTTTCTTTTACCTTTTTTCTCACCAACAGGATGCTGTATAGACAACATCTATACGTATATTTTATTTTGTCAAAATCCTAATTTTGAAGTACCAAATTGCAAAAACTCCTCTATAGCTAACTTCCGAATTACTTCACCTTTTTTCAAATTACTTTAACGATAAAGTTAGATGATCATCTTTTTTTATAGGAAAATATGCGGTGAAAATCAACCAATCAGATTTAAGCCCGCTATGCTACTCTGATCCAATGTGGATAGATACTGAGCACAACGTGTTATAACTTAACATTAAAGAGGAAAGATATTGATTAAGCTAAAATTCTTTTTACTAATGTTATATTATAAACATAGAGAGTTCTGATTGGACTGATTATTATTTATTACATATAAGATCTACAATCCAAAATTTGCATTATGGCGCAGTATTGGATATCTTATGCTGTCCTCGTTAAAAAGATACTTTTATAGAATACTCAATAAATTTAAGATTGAAAAGGCGTAGGTTGTTAGAGTCGTAAAAGAAGAGAACATCCAAAAATGTGTGAAAATGTGAATCGACCCGTATAATGATAATGAACGAACAAGCTATCAAAGAAATGATGGTCACCAAGCAATGGTTATCACGAGTCATTCTCTTGGTTAATTACATAGTACACAAAAGCAGACAAAGTACTTATATCTTATTCTGTATTATCAAGGTATCCAAAACACTTTGAACTTGATTCAATACATTCGCATCTTGTGCAGATAAAAATTTTGATGGTATTCCCGTTGTCTTAGTTTCTATAGTCGTCGTCATCGTTAATGATTGGTTACGGAATTGAGAATCAGAATCTACAATATTATTTCTATTTGCACCACTACTATTATTTTCTTCACTGGTCATTGCCAATTGTGATAATTGCTCAGTCAAACTATCCAAAGTTTCCACAGTGGAATAAGGAGATGCTTTTGGATTATTATAAGCATCCTGTTTATCATTAGCTTCTGTCATCATAATATTTTCTTCATGATCACTTTTTTCTTGGTCAGCAGAATCACTCTGAAGGGATATATAATGTCTCAGTATTTTTGTAATCTAAAAAAAAAGAAACAATAATACATCAATGATCATATATTTTTTATATGTTATAATCGATCAATTTAATATATTTCAAACCTGTAACACTTGACGAAACACTTCTCTTTCTTCAATTTCAATCACTTGATCAATAATATTATTAGTGCTGTTATCACTGTTATTATTATCGCTCTTATTGTCTATGTTAGAATAATTATGATTAATATAGTCTGTTGTATCTGTAGTTGAATTTGAAAAAGATGCATTTGACAATATATTTTTCATCAGAATGCTTAATCGTGATCGAGCGACAGAAAGAGGTGTTCTTTCGAAAGCATCATCAACATATATTTTTGCGCCTAATTGAATAAATCAATCAATTACAATAGTAATAATAAATTACTCAATCGATTACAATGGTAGTAATAAATTAATCAATCAATTGCAATAGTAATAATAGTATCAAAAAAAATTACCTGCTTCTAATAATGTAACTACACATTCCAATTTATTCGAAATCACAGCTAAAAAAAAACCATCCATTTAATATGCAAAAATGATTGACTGACTACCCTGCAAAATAACTTCCTCTCACCTAAATGCAATGGTCTATTCCCAACAACATCAGCATCAGCATTTACATTTGCTCCACGTGAAATCAATAATTTTACCGCGTCAATATGACCACCAGCACACGCAAAATGTAAAGGTGTCCGACCTTTGTCATCTGCTCGATTGATATCGGGTATTGGTGTCAATACAAGCAAATTTATAACTAAAAAAAAAAAAACAAATTTATTCATATAACTAATGAATGAATGAATGAATGTCTGGATATTTTTTCATTTGTGTTTATTTTTTAATTCACATACTTTTATCACAATCCCCTCTGCAAGCAGCATCTCTTAACTTTTCTTCCCTTAGTTCACGCTCAATAGCACTTTTTATTTTTGCTCTTGCAACATCTTGATGCTTGTTGTTGATGCGTGGATTAAGTGTACGGTGAAATAACAGTGTAGGAAGAGAGTATGGAAGGTTAATGTCATTAGTATTAATGTTACTAGTACTGGTAAATGATTTTCGTGGACTACTTGTGGTACTAGTGGGTGAAGGTGGAGGTGGAGCTGGACGAGAAGCTTGCAAATAAAATTCTTCAAAGAATTCTTCCATTGTTCTGTAAAAACGCCAGTTCAGGAAATTCTGGTTAGTACAACTTTTTAATCGCGTGATCAATATTATTTTATTATCGTTACATGATTTTGAATACAATCTTGCATTTGTTTTTTTTACACAATGAAGTAGAGAAAGTTTTCTACACCTCAAAAAAAGAGAAATTCGAGTTAACAATCACGACGTTTTTACACAGTAGGAATAGTCCAGAAAACATATCTTCATACTTTGTTGAACTTCCTACCCCTTCTCTGGAGCTTTTCTTCTTAAATCGTATAAACCCATTAATAATAGACCAGCATATGATATGAAATATGTCACTTCATATGTCACGAATTATTGTGGTTATAGTAAGAATGGAGCCGCAATCTGCTTTGGATGTTGGAAACTAATGTTGATGCAAAACCTAGGAAAATATTCCACCACTCTAAACGTAGATATGTGGAAATTCTTGAATCGAATGATATGATGGAAATCCATTGGAATCGCCATTGCTCTAGACCCAAAACTCGAGCACGACTTATACGGGAAGCGGTTAGGAATGATAATATGAAAAGGGAAGATAAAGATAAATATCTTGGAGTTTGTCCTATTTCTAAGACAATAGTAAGACCTTCAGATCAGTATGGGGTCATTCGTCATTATTATCCTTTTACACAAACTATTAGATATACTGCTCAATGGCTTAATCTTAAGAAAGAGCAATTACGCAAGAGAATATACTTGCAATCTCAATTTATTGTAGCATGACAGGTACATTTATGTTTTATCTAATAATAAAGTCTACCCACACCGGGCTTGTGAGTTTTTAACGTACGCCAATATTTCTTGATCCAGAATTTCTTCCAGTTTCATTGCAACGAAGTCATCAATTCAGAACTTGACAAATGTGCAGTACTATCCGGATTCGTACAACATTATCTCCGAACCACTGCTGAACTGAAGAAAAAATGTTAGGTAAGCTATATATTGCGATAAAAAAGTGGGATAATGCTAATAACCAGGGTTGGGAATTTCTATTTCGTACAGCTGGTCCTTAGTGATTAAACCTCCTTAGCCTCTCATAGAAAGAGTGTGATGTGGAACATTGAGGTTATTGCCTTACGAAACGATTTTTCCCAACCCTGCTAATAACCTTTTATTTATAGATGCATACAATAAAATTTTTGCGGACCTCAAAAGAAATCCACGATATCGATAACGATAATGGGATGAACTTCGCAACGCATTAGTTGAGCAACATATGAAACCGGTAAATTTTTCTCCGGGCATTGCTTGATGGAGCCTTAGTTATGTAACATAGCTATGCTAATTGGTTGATTATAGTTGAATTCAATCCATCCGGATTAATCTAATTTCTATATATATATATATATATATATATATATATAAATGTTAAATAATAAAATCAAATGCAGAAACGTTATTTACAAATTTGGACCTCCGGATTATTAATTATGAAACTTGGGCAGCAACGCTAATTTGGATCATAAAATATTAATCGATCACAAGTTTTTTTTCCAGCTTTTAATGCCTCACTTTATTATGTCTTTATTTGTAACCAAAAGAATAAAAGATTATACGTGTAAAAGTCAATACTTGGCAATGCGAATTTATAGGTGGGCTTAAGAATTAACCTCAAGATATTCATTTACACGTTTCCATATTTTTATTCTATCCAAAATGTTTTCTTCTACTTGATTTTCAGTCATAAAAGAATGTTCTTCCCAAAGTTCCGCAACAAATTTCACACTTTCAATCTGATCAACTTTTAAAGTCCCACCTTGAATCAAGTTTCGTTTATAGATTAATTCCCGACTATATTTTTCCAAGACTCGGGTACAATAAAGATTAGACAAGGGAATTGAGATCTCAGCTATGTCTCCTCCTTTTTTATCACCTTTTAAGAGATTTTGAATACTTGAGGTCTTTGAAGGCGAAGATGAAGAATTGAATTTCTTTTTGGATTTTGAGGGTGATTTCTTTTTGGTTGCTGAAGAAGAGGGAGAGGATTTGACTTGATCAGTGGAGAACTGAGATTCGGATGTGGAAGAGGGAGAGGGAGAAATTACTTTCGCGCCACTATTATTGTTCGTTATAACTTCATTCGTGTGAACACCGATTAGTCGATTTGATCTCTCATAAATTCCGTGCATTTCCTTTAGGATCTTTTCAAATTCATCCAAAGATTGATGAATTTTCAAAAGAATTGATTCAATTTCACACGATTGTTTGTAGATTAAGGTGTGCAATAGTTTCTGATTGAGAATGGGATCTTCATCACATATTTCTTCAGATGAAGAAATTGAATTTAGATTCGAAACGAGAAATGAAGTCTTTGATGAGAGAAGAAATAACGTGTCTTGACGTTGTGAATTTACATTGTGTAGCGAATTGAATAAAGCCCGAGATTTTATGTGTGTTTGTGACCATAGTGTACACAGAGTGCTTAGATTTATTAAATGGGTAATGTGCTGTGGAGTCGAATGTGAAGTGGACATTTTTTGATTTAATTCATAATTGCATCACCTGAAGTTAATGATAATGTGGGACAGAATCACGGTAAATGTGTGACTAAATCAAGTTTATGCTAGTCGCATATTTGCCGGTGTTTAGCTTTTGTGCTCGATGATGTATTATCAAAAGTTTTGAATCCATAGAAAATTTTATTTGGGTGCCAAAATTGTATTAATAAATAGAAAGAGAAAATTTAATCATAGTAGAGAATTAATCAATGACTACATGATGATAATAGTATTATACGGAATGCTGTTGTATGTGTGTATTTTAATTAATAATGAAAACGATGCTGGAATAGAATATGACGATGTATTTGATTATGAATAATTATTGATATTTCTAATTAAATTAATAATATAATATTATTGCAAAGTGTCCAATTTCATCCTATACTCGTTCCAAGCCCACCACTCTTGAGTCCATCCTTTCGCCCAAACAACTCCAAGAAAAACCATATGATTATCTTCATTATTAACAGTTAAATTATTATTGCTATTATTGTTATAACTATTCAAACTGGAGTTGAGATTTTTGTTGTTGCTACTTTCATCGACTGTATCACTACTACCGTCATTACTCTCTCCACCAGCTTGACTGTTATTTTCAGTTTCTTCGTCGGGATTAACAGAAGAATCTTGTGTATCGAGAGAACTAATGGCGGGAATTTCATTGATACTGGCAGCGCGACTGCCGTTAATTTGTGTAGTTCCATTAATACTACTACTATCAGTGACATCTGATGCAGCTGTACGATATTCCAATCGGAAAACGAATTCTTGCGCGTAAATTACTAATTTTTGTCCACCCGCCAATCGAAACATGTCGTCCAATGCTTTAACTCTTGGATTAAAGGACCCTACAAGAGATGCAATATCTACTCCGGTCACTTGTACGCCATCAATTTCTAATCGAATTCCATTCAACGCATCGCGCATATTCCAACCTGTTGTCATTAGATGTGATAATTGGATTTGAGTATTTTCTCCACAAATTTCGCCTATAGTTTGAAGAGCTTTTTGATCGTGATCATTGAGAAATTCTGTATGGAACTGTATGGTGGCATCTGAATTGTCCAATTCTAGAGTAAGCACCGCTCCCGTAAAAAATTCAATGGCAGATGGTCCTTCAAGTTTTGATTTGATAAAATCTTTATGTATTGGTACGTCGCGGAGCGATAAAAGAATTTTATCCTGAGAGGTGAATGGATCTTTGTAGCGTAGCGGTGTTGGTGTTTCTGCTTGCAATAGTTGCGCAAGTTGATCAAGGCGGTAGAAACGGGCATCCTCCAATAAGCTTTCACGAAATAGATCAAGTGACATTCCAGGTGGCAAATTAACAGAAGATAATGGAAATATGGTGTATCCACGAAGATATCTGAGAATTACTTCAAAAAGTCTAGGATCACGATCTATCGCGATTTCTTTACGTATTGATGAATTTTTATTCGAACTACTAGTGCCATTATTACTATTGGCTTTATCCGTAACATTCGGGCTTTCTGTATTACTTACTACAGATCCTGAAAGTGCATCGCCACCATTGACAATACTCTTTTCAGCGTCACCATTTTCTTCTAAAGCAGGTGCGGCTGTGGCATTAGATTCAACTGCTGTTGTTACATTGGAATTAATCTTGGAAGTGGTGGTGGTTGTCTCTTCTGAAGTCTCCTCGCCCAAAAAAGCTTCTGTAAAGAAATTAGGAGAGTCACAAGTTATTGATGAGCGATACAATCGAAAGGTTTGTTCGCCTACGTGAACAATATATGAATTCATAATGTCAATTGAGAGGTTAGAAGGATTGATGTTTGCAAATTTATTAGGTGACATTTGTTGGGGTAAAAGACACAATAACAACAATAAACGGTAAAATTATTTACTTGAGAAATGGAAGAATCTGTATCACCGTAGAAACTGATCCAACTTCCGACAGATTTGAGATCAAAAAAATAAGTATTTCGTTATTTAGTAAAAAAAAATGTTTGGCGGTTTCGTGACGCGTTTTCATAAAGTTGCATACCGCCTTTTATCCACTACCACCATTTCTAAAAATATTTCTAGAATTTCTTCTTTTGAACAACAGGCTAACATTAATAATAATAAACAATTAAATGATAAATATTTTCTAGAGAGATATGAACAAAAAAAGCTACTGCATTACGCAAGACAAGCAAGAGACGAACTAGTACCGCTTGGTGGCTTGGTTGATTTGAATGACGTGTAAGGCGCGAAAATAGACCAAAATTTAAAGCAAAATATTCTTTTTATTACGTGAGACTTATTTAAACGCGCGTCTTCTTTTAAATACATCATAATAAATTAATATAAGATTTATTAACAATGAAGTAAACCTAAATTATACAAAAGTTTATGGTTTTGATTATGATTACACTCTGGCGAACTATACCGAAAATCTACCAAGAGCAATTTATCGGGTTTTACGACACATTCTCATTAAACAGTTTAGCTATCCTAAAGGACTTGAATCTGTTGATTTTGATCAGGATTTTGCTATCAGGGGCTTGCATTATGGTAAAATAATTAACATGTTAGTTGGTCGTACATGCTTGTTAAGTCATTCATTTCCCTTATAATTTCACATTCTTTTGAATAGCTGATAAAATCAATTTTTTAATCTATGTGGATTCATATTAGACATGCAAACGGGATGGCTAATGAAAATTGATGCTTTTTCAAATGTACAAATGAATACAATCTATTGTAAGTAACTGAATCGAAATTAATTACGCGTAATTATAATATGTGAATTGGTTATTTTGTTATTTTCACAGTTGGCAGAGAGCCTCTAAAAGATATTCAAGAGTTGCATAAAATTCATAAAGGTAAATTCTTTTTATTATTTTTATTTGATGTTCATTTTATACATTCGCATAATTTATTTAATTTTGTCATGGTAGGAGTTCATATATCACAAGAATATTTAAACGACATGTATCAACTTAATGATCTCTTTAGTATACCCGAAGCATGTCTTTTAGCTGACGTGATTCAATATTTTAATGAGCATAATGTAAAGTAGGTCTTTTTCGTACCATGTTTACTTTTTTATTCGCTATTATGATGGGTTCTTGTAATTTTTCAACGAGACTTGCTTCAATGTAGTACAGATTTCATCCACGCTATCTCGTTGAGGACATTCGCGCTGCAGCAAGGATAATTCATTTGGGTGCATCTCGTGATGGAATTGGTGGTCAGTTGCATCACATGATTATTAACAATATCCCCGAATTTCTGGAGAAAGCACCTCGACTGGTGGCATACCTGGAGAAATTGAGAGCACAAGGGAAAAAATTGTTCTTGTTAACAAATAGCAGCTTTGCTTTCGTGTAAGTTTTATTTATTTTCTTCTTCTTAACCTTATTATTATTAGCCTTTTGCTTTTCTTATTTATAAATCTAAGTTTACTTGTTTTTTTTTTTTACATTAGTGACAAAGGATTAAGTTATATTACCGGAAATGCAGATTGGCGTTCACTCTTTGACGTCATAATCTGTGCTGCCGACAAACCGACATTCTATATAACACGACGTCCATTTCGGCGCGTATCAACACCCACCTGGAGTATTGTTGATAAATTTGAGGAGGGGAATGTATATCAAGGTGGAAATATGATGGACTTTAGTAAATTTACTGGGTGGCAGGGGTGTGTATATATGTTTTTAAGCAAGACTTTTGAATTATTATTACGTTAATACATTTTTGGTCTTTATAAGTTCGAGTATTATGTATATTGGAGATCACGTTTATTCAGATTTAGTCTCACCTACGCTACATCAAGGCTGGCGGACTGTACGTGTTTTACATACACATATTTATTTAAATATTCTACAATTTATTGGTGGCCTTTGAATTAAATAATATATTTTCAACTTAGGGGTGTGTCATACGTGAACTCTCAACAGAAATCTCTATTCGTAATCTACCTACTTCTCGATTCAGCCTCTCATGGCTCTTAAACTTAGAGTTACTAATAAGAGAAGCGCAAGTTGCATCGATCGATCAACAACATCGAGAGAAACTTCAACTGTTACTCAATGAATGGCGTTCAGAAAGAAAAGAATTACGAACTCTATTGAAACGAGTGTTTAACCCACAGTTTGGAAGTGTGTTCAGAACGCATCATAATCCGACTTTTTTTGCAAATAAAATTAGAAAATTTGCCGATTTGTAAGTTTTATTTCTTTTGATGCGTGTGCCTTGATAAAATGTTGTTTAATTCTTTTTACAAATAACAAAATCAATAACCATCATCATAATAGATACACTTCGAATATAGAAAACTTTAACAATTATCCTCTTGATTATATTTTTTATCCAGAGAGAGCGTATCTACCACAGTATGTGTTTTTTTTTTTAATTTCTCTGTTTGAACTTTTGCCGTTCATAATTTTAATCTTTTTTGATGACTAATAGTGAAGGATTAGTAGAGATATTCTTAGACCAGAAACAATAAGCGCAGCAGATTTTATTTATGGGATGTTATAAAAGCATTTTACATATAAAAAAGTTCTGTATTTCCATAGAATCAATACATAGATCTTGAAGTGACCTATCGCTATCTTTATATTTTGTGAAACAATATTAGTAATAATGAAGATTCACTTATTGATAAACTTAAAAAATGTCAAAGTTTAATCCTCTTTGCACAATTCTCGTAACAGTCGTCGAGGGTAAATGATATTCTCATGAGATTACCATGTTTTTCTCGTTTCAAAAACTAATTCTCAATAAACTAGACTTTTATTCAATCAGGTCGTTATTTTCCACAGAACCCGACAGCCAAAGTATTCGTCGAATGCCGTTTTACCGACGAAATTCTCTCGACAATCAGTCCCGACTCGAACTCAATTCTACGCACAGACGCGGTCGAACAAATAAATTTTCCGATATGGGATACGGAACTCGCATGGGAAGTTGATCAAAAAACGTTGCATAACCTTCGCTCACAATGGGCTCATTTGAAACTACAGTGTTTTTCGGTAGGCAATGGTAACAAAAATGAATTATTTGGATATGCAATGCTTGATATTAGAGCAGCTGCCGATAGACCTGGAAAAGACTTTTGGGTTTCATTGATTAATAATAATACACGCACTCGAGGTCCTCGTCCGGAAATAAACATATCGTTTTGTATTTTGGCGAATTTGTCACCTCCAGTGACACCAGGAGGATACATTCCTAGCCCGCTCGGAAAATTTGTTGAGTATAGTCTTCCAGAGGAGGGATCCGAAGAGTCGAAACAGTCGGGAAAATTAAAAGAGGATGGATATTATCGTATAGGGAATGATGGATTTGATAGATTATTATTTTCAGTTACTATTAATTTCGGTGCAAATTTGCAAATGTTGTTTCAGGAATCTTATTCTGATTCTTCAGCTCACCACAGTTCTGAAGATCTTGATGAACTTGATATGACAATAGTGAGTCACGGCTATTATTTTCAGTACACTTTCCTGGATAGCATTGTGACTTCTTCCAGGTTTTATGATCTGGCTCATCCTAATATTAAGCCGGAATCTATGAGTTTCAGGATTGAGTCGTCGCTGAAAGAGTTTATAGAGTTTTTGAATCAGGAATCCAAATTAGTGATTAACTTGTATCATGATACACAAGTAATTGGTTACGCTGAAATACCGTTGACAGGCCTTTTTCAAACAGCAGAGCCTCGATCTCTGGATATAGTCTGTCCTATATATAACTCAAAGGGAGAGTTGCCTCTATCTGCGGATATGCAAACAGCAAGGATAGGTGTTTTTCTGATAATTCAGCGTGAAGAGGACGCCATATATTATATTGATGATGCTCCAGATTCAGAGTCCTCTGTAGAAAATAACAATTACAACAACAATAATATTTCCTCACAATTTCGTGAACAAAATAGTGAGCATGAATATCGGATTTTGATTGAATTAATCTCCATCAAATTGAACAAGCCAATACCAAACATTTATATTAGGTATAGTTATCCTGCCTTGGGCATTACAAATTACAAGTCTACACAGACTCTAAAATCTATTGAGGCAGGTGCAGATGCACCACTTTCTAGTGGAATGAACACGATCGACGTAAAGATGACACCGCAAAGATTTGCACGTTATTTTGAGGCGGTTCCCTTGCTTATGGAATTACGACAACGTGGTGAACAAAAAGATTCAGAATTGGGTGTCGCTTCTTTACATTTAGCTGAAGTGTTCTTGTCAAATCCCACCCGAGATGATAATATAAAAGCAGACATAGTGAATTTCACCACGTTAACGCCCATCAAGTCCGCCGGGATGGTTATACCACCTGAGATGGGAAGTATTATCGCGTCGATCAGAGTAGAAGATTTTGGCGAAAATTCTAATGCGAGAAGCAATGAAGATGATGATGATAATAATATGTCAGAAATAAAAATTGCAGATGAACATTCCTTAATGAATGACACTACAAAACAAAGTATCAACACGGGAAATGTAGATATATTGGATGGGAAATCGTCATCATCTAATGTCGTCGTCGAGGAAGACCAAAATATATCAAAGTCATCATCACGTTTTCGTACAGAAATATTTCAACGAGCTGCCGAACACGCAAAATTCACACAAGAAACACTCTACCCGAAAAAAGAAGGGAAACGTCACAACAATCATCATTACCATCCTAACTACATTCGAAACAAAATCCAACAATTGAAATCAGTCGACGTACAACTTCAAAATTCCATCCTCTGTTTTCAAACACGCGATGAAAGTTTAGTACGCGCCGAAAAAGATTTAGAACGACGATGGTTGGAACTTGATCGACAGTTTGAACAGCGTACACGCGATATGAAAGTACAGTCCGAGGCTGATTTATTGCAGAAATTCAAGTTTTTACGTGAACGAACTCCAACTGCTGAAGATACCATAAAGAAGCTTAGATTGGAGAATGATAGTTTGCGTGCTCAGTTGGAGGTTAGTGAACGCGCTAAAAGCGAGTATAAGTCGCAATGGTCGAAGTCACTTCAGGTTATTGCTGAAATGAATAGTAATAACAGTAATAACAGTAACAATATTAATAAGAATATTAATGGTAATATCAATGGTAATATTAATGGTAATATTAATGGTAGTAGCATTAATGATAGCATTAATGGTAACATTAATGATGCTAGTAGTAACGAAGAGTCGATATTTTGGAAGGATGATTTTCCTCGATTCTGGTGGCAGATGCAACGGATGGCTGAAGAAGAGCTCGAATCACTAGATTATGAAAAGCTATCGCTGCAATTACTGAAACAAGAACTTGAACTTTTGAGAGCTGAATGATAACAATATTTAATTTTATGTTTCAGAAAAAAAGATCCATAAATTATATTCCCAACACCTAAACTATGTAAATTACGTGTATAGATTTTCATTACTTTATGATACTTAAACAACAATATAGAAGAAATAAATTTACTTAATTATGGCATTTATCGTCATTGTTCTCTAGCAGCAGCAGCAGCCAAATGTATAGCAAATGATTTTATTTTGCAGGGATTTCACGTTCACACGGAACAAATTTCAGAGTTTCACCTTCATATCTAAAGGAGAAGAATAAATTAAATTAACTAACGATAGTATGTAGTAACTGACTTAATTTGCTCCATTTTACATTTCCACTTACCTATAATCGAAAAACAGCTCCTGACCAGGATCAAGATCGAATTGTGCGTATAATCCAATACGATGTTCCCCGTTAACCAATGTAACTATTAAAAGTAAGTTTAATGTATGTATAAAGTCTATTAGCGACGATTGTAATAGAATCAAACTTACCACGTGCGTATGAATTCGGATCTGACGAATGATTGACAAATCGAAATTTATTGCCCTTTCGAGTGGCATCTACCACTTTTTCTGTATGAAACAATTTACATCACCGTAAATAAAAAATTGCAAAAAGTGAATCAATCAGATATAGTTTACCTTTATTCAAATTGAACAAAAAACTAGTTCCTCGCTTATCATAAATTTTTCCACGTCTATCCGCTTCTGCTTGTGATATGACCTGTGGTTGAGTGAAAAGAGACAAAGTTTACTTATACAGTACATACATAACCTCTGCATCATTCATCTTTTTCGAAGATTCAAATAAAAGATGAAACTCTATTATAATTAATTTTACCTCACCCACGTATTCACCCAAAAATTCATTCTTCTTCACAGGCTCCTTCACGAAAAGTCCCCATCCAGCCACAGCAGATATGCCAACTATGGTATGCTAATGTTTATATCAAGGAAAACATAAAGAGAAAGTTGAATTAAGAAATTATAACAAAATGCTCTATTTTGAAGTAAAAACAAAAATTAATATTCACTTTAGCTTTTCCTCTCTGAATGGCGGTATTCTTGCAAGGACGTCGATCAAAATCATGTGCAGAAATCTGCAATTCTTTAATTTTGAGAATTCATGTATTAAAAAAAAAGCAAAATAAATATAATACCGAAATACTATTAAATTTAATTAAAAAAAAATTACCACAAGCTGAACACGAACATATATCCGGATCACATTCACGGTAATTTGCAAAGCAAAAACAAGAACGAAGATTACACGCTTTTATGTTACTACAATTGCAACCGAAAAATCTTCGAGAACCTAAATACAAATAGAATGTTAATAATCTTGTATTGAGATATTGAATTTAAGCATAGATACAATGTAATCGGTGTAATATTGGATAATTTACAATCGTAATCACATCGGCAGTATTTCTCACAGAAAAGGTTGCCTTGAACGCATGGACAGGTACTATCGCATACCTTCCCCGGATGATCGCAGGGACGATATTCTAAATGATCGGCGGCATCAATTTCTAAGATTTGCAAATAAAGTTAATATAATTACTTAATAATTCACAATAAAGTATATAGCAATTAGCATACCTATTCCAGAAATTCTCGCCATAGTCCTTTTCAGTCTACCGCCACGTTGTTTCAATTCATCAAAAGAAGACTCGCCCAAAGTATCATCTTCATTTGGATTAGACTCGTAAAACTGCGCTCGTTGATATACCTAATAATTAAACATTCCATTCAGTTCTTTACAATTTGACAGTATATAGAAAACACACATTTTATTCAAAGAAAAATATTACCTGCTGACAAGCTTTTGTTTTCACTATAACAGACACCGCACAATAATTCTTTTTGCCATAAATTTCACGTGCTCTTTTGTATAAGGCAATTTCCACCGAATTCCAATCCTCAAAGTGTTTTGAACCTTGATAATTTCGCTTATTTTCTTCATTCATGTAGCATAACGAACCACAAGGCTCGTTTAGTGTGATGAACAGTGGTCTTTTTTTATTTTTAGTTGGACGAGATTCCGTTCCTATTTTTATTTTATATAGAATGAGAAAATCAATTCTTAGAAGCGAATATGAGAAAAATAAAAGATTACCATGCAATCCACAATCGTACACATAACATCTACGACACCATAGACTTGCATAAGAACGCATCATCGTTTCAGCCATTACAAAATCTAGATGACTAAAGAAATTTTCAATAAGAAAACAATGTAAAAGAAATAACAAAGCACGATCAAGTAAAACAACACACTTGTCAACATTCGTGTTAACAGTTGCAAATGATTCCTGATTCGTCTTGTCAGTTGATATTTTCTCTAAATAGCTGCAAATTCATAATAATGCGCACCACTTAATTAATATCTTATGTTATAATCACTGATATAATCATTTTCTCATAAAAAGATAAATATTAATAAAAAATTTACCCACTCAGCAAATTTTTAGCGCTCGTTTTAAGAATTTTCTCTGATGCTTTTAAAAGCATCTCAGCCAGAGCAAGTTGCTCCTGTTCATCTCCATCGTCAATTTCGTCGACATTGATGGATTGTTTTGCTTCCCTTGATTTCGATAGTGTCTTGCATAAGGATAATCCTCTGCTAGCAGCACAATTCTCGAGAACATTAATCGATATATTGTTTTGCTCAAATAAACTACGTAATGTATTAAAAGCAACTACTTCTCCTAATTATTTGTTTAATATATAATTAATATAATTAATCAATACTGAGTGGAATTTTCTCGATAAATGAAACATTTGAATCATGAGAACAACCTTCTAAATCGTGAGTTTTTTCTCCAACGACTATATCGTCATAAAAATCCATGTAATTAATTTCCTCTTCGTTATCATCCTCTTCACCAAAATAATGAAGATGTCGTAGTACGGGGTCGTCTTCTGTCTAATATTTACGTATAATTAATAAATGAAGGAAAAAAACAAATTCATCGTGTTTATACCTTTGAGCTATGTGGAATCGGGGTCCATAACGTGTATCGCGGTAATGGTTTCCAATTATTAAGTGAAATAGAAGCAAGTTGTTCATTATTTTTCACTTGCGGTCCATTGTGCACGCTACTCTTTAAAGGAAATAGAGTAGTTTCATTATTACTTTTATTTCAAAAAAAATCTTGATAAAAATGTATTTACTTGGACGGTAAATTCACTGGAGCTAAGTCCCATTTTCTTTTCAACCGCGCTCTTTGCTTTTTTCTTTTGCGAAGTATTACTGGCTGCTTTACCACGTTTTATCTCTTGTAAGGGATAAATGACATCGTGCGACCCTATGATGGGCTTTATTCGATGTAAAGCTCTTTTGTTGTTACGAAGATCTTGAATTCTTTGGTTGTTTTCTAGAAACATTTTCTATGAAGGTGGATAAGTTAAAACAAAGCAATCAGAGAGTTAAAGCAAAGAGAAAAAGGTAGTAGTTACTTGAGATTCTATTAGTTTATTGTTATAGAATTCTTGGCGTATTCTATGATATTCTTCGTCGACTTGTATAAGAAGTTGTTTCTCCATCTTCGAATAATTCGAAACGCGCTTTTATGATCCACTTTTTTATTAATTCTTCGTTGTATCACGTGCATTTCTGAACACAATATAAAAATACTATTTGTTATTGTTATCGTTATCGTACCTGCATTTTTTCACTTTACAACCATGGAAGAAATGTTAGCAAGAAAACGTGCCGAAATTGCTGCTAAAATTGCTGCGTTTCCTAAACTGTCTCAGGCGTCGACGACGACGACAACAACTCTATCACAGAATACTTTGCCGACTCCCCCTTCTCAAAACATGAATCCTTCCAACTTGGGTGTATCGATCGACCCTGATTTGCAAAGGAAAATCCAGGAAGCAAAAGAGCGGGTTAGAGTAACCTTGTCAAAAGCAAATCCTTATTTGGTAAATTTTTCTTACTTGAACAATTTAAATATAATACTTTACAAGATTCCTAGCATTGTTCTTTTAATTAACTATTGTGCAGCCCTCAACCAGCTCTTTAGCAAAATCCTCAGATGAAGCTGCCAAAGCTAAAGGGGGACTCAAAGTCGAAGCACATCCTGCTCTGCTCTTAGATCAAAGTGGAAAGATTGTTATAAATAAAGCTTCTGCCTTAATTCCCAAGCCGAACTTTGCTACTGTAAAAGTAAATATCATTTATAATAATTAGGAATAGATTGGATTATTGTTGGTTTTTCCGTTTAATGCACAAATTTTTCTCTTTCCATTACAGACTATAATGCTGTTCTTTGTTCGCCTCAACAGGCAAATCAACGAGCTGCTCCTGCAGCCGTAAAACAACAAGAGATGAGTAAAGTTTCGTCAACACCCACCGAAGAGGCTGGCGCTATCGTTCAGAATCCGTATTATGATCCTCGGGCTGGAACAGGAGCTATCGTTCCTCAGAGACGTACTCGTAAAAAACTCAAATTTGTATCAAGAGGAAAATATGAAGCTCTGGGAAATCAAATGCGTGCACAGGTAATGTTACGAGAGACACATACATGTCTTTCTATTTTGATCATTTTTTATTTACGCGTGGAATTTAAAAAATTAATTAAAGATGGGAAATTATTTGTTATGTAGGTTAAACTTGAGAAATTGAAAGAGGAAATAGCCCAAAATGTAAAAAAAGCAGGCATGGAGTCGGAACTTGATTTATCGGATAAAGCTATCAAGGTATTTTTGTTTGTTGATTTTTTTTCAATAGATGTTGTGTTAATATAACTTAATAGAGAGAAGCACCTCCATCGCATGAATGGTGGGATAGTCCACTGCTTACCAACAAAACTTATGATGACGTTGATGCTGGGTTTACAAAAATTGACGATGACGACTCGTTAGTTACTATGTACGTTCAACATCCAGTACCCATAAAACCGCCTGGTCATAATAATCTTCCAGCTCCAAAACCATTGATCTTGACTAAGAAGGTAATTAAAGGCATTAAAATCTGTAATTGTATTCGTTACTAATTACTGCTGACTTTGCATAACAGGAGCAAAAGAAGCTACGAAAACAAAAAAGATTGGAATTACAAAAAGAGAAACAAGATAAAATTCGACTGGGATTATTACCACCCGATCAACCAAAAAGTTTGTTATTTTATTTGTATATATATATATATATATACATATTTGTGTATGTATTCTACTGGATAAATATTAACAATTATTTTCATTACTTAGTTAAGTTAAGCAATCTTATGCGTGTCCTCACGAATGACGCTATTCAGGATCCTACTAAAGTTGAAGCTCAAGTAAGAAAAGAGATGCAAAAACGCCAAGAAACGCATTTGAAAGCCAACGAAGAACGTAAATTGACTGATGAACAAAGAAAAGAGAAAAAGAAACAAAAAATGTTAGAAGACTCGAGTAAAGCGACGATTGTTTGCGTATTTAAGCAAGTTTATATTTTATAGAATAATGTTTTTATAGAATAATTACGATAAATAATTAATATTATACTTGAATTCCAGAGTAAACGATCTTTCACATCCAAAAATGAAGTATAAAGTCGATCAAAATGCGCAACAACTCGATCTAACAGGCACAGTCATCATCAACCCAAATTTCAGTGTAATAGTCGTAGAAGGCGGTCCAAAAGCCGTTAAAAACTATAAAAAGCTCATGCTCAGGCGTATAAATTGGTCGGACACTACTCGTCTTGGTGACAACAGTAGCAGCAACGTTGACGAAGCAATGGATGTGGATTTGAGGGAACCCTCAAAAGAAAATAAATGTGTGCTGTTGTGGGAAGGACACACAAAGGAGCGTTCATTTAAAGGATTCTGGTTTAAAACGTGTCCTACGGAGAAACTTGCTCGAGATTATTTGCGAAAATATAGGTCTGAGCATTATTGGGATTTGGCGAGCAAGTATGTCGATGAAGGATTGGAAATGCCAGTTACCCTATAAATGTTCTCTTTCAATGAAATTTATAACCCGGTTAGCGGGTCTTCCAATACTGCATACCCAAATTTATAGTGGTGAGCATTTTCTATTCTTTTACTAACCCAAACTTGGATCAATAGATAAACAAATTTAATTCTAAATTACATTCAATTATTTTGTTCTCTTGTAAATTTTGTCCATAAACGTGGTGAAAATTTCACGTTTCAGCACAGACTTGTCGTCCAATTGCGAAATAAGTTTATTAATACGTGAATAGGAATCGTCTTCATACTTCTTGAAAAGTGCTTCAATCTCAAGATCTCGAAAGATTTTTTTGACAATCGCGACATTTTCGGGATTTTTCTTGCCATAGTTTTCCTTGATTATATTTCGTTGGTAATGAATTAATTGTCAATGTTTTAAATAACAATTACCAAACATCAACCAACAAATAACTTACATCCAAGAGTTTACGTTGTTCGGGGGAGGCCTTGTCCAATGCTTGGTTGATAAGCCATGAACATTTGTTATCTTCGATATCAGTGCCTATTTTCCCAATAACATCAGGATCACCATAACAATCAAGATAATCGTCCTAAAGTGTACGAAAATCACATGTTATTTTTATCTATCTATCAAGCATTATTATTGAAATAGAGATAGTGACAATATTTACTTGAATTTGAAAATATTCGCCTAAAGGTATTAGAATGTCTTTAGCCTGTTTATACGCTGATTCTTCTTTGATACCAGACTGAATAATAGATAGATGTGGCGAATAATAATATAGTATTTAACATTTAACAGTATTTATATATAATATATAATAATATCACTTACCATTCGCAAAGCCAATGCCACTGGAAGGTAAAATGAATAGAAAGCGGTTTTGAATATAACAATAAATCTATGTCTGTAAATAACATTTAAATTTTAATAGTATTAGTATATAAATATAAATTTAATAAAATGTGATTTTTGCCAGAAATTAATTTACTTTTCAAGATTAAACTTGCTCAAGTCAACATGATCCTCAGGAGCAGTGGTCAAATCCAGCAATTGACCAAGTTCTGTCTGAAAAGTAGTCTATATATTGCAATAGCAGAAACATAAGAAAGTGCATTTAGATATTAATTGATAATGAGGAAGAAAAATTACCTCATGAAATAATTCAATTAAATCGATATAATATGGTTCATTACGGAAATGCTTTTTCAAAAAGCAATAAACAGCGGATTCAAGAATAAAAGCATCATTTATGGCAATATTACCAACACCATCCTATTTTGTTTGAGATATATTGATTAATCAATTGAATGACGAAATTCAATTTAAAATTTTGAGCCAGTCAAGAGTACCGCTGCTACTTACCATACGATACCAACAAGGTTTACCACGACGTGTAATCGATTGATCCATTATATCATCAGCGACAAGGAAAAATGCTTGTAACTATTATTTTGAAAATTGTAACAGGAATAATAAATCGTATTTTATAAAATCTCATTTTTTACTTTCTTATATGAAGAAAATTGATATCACGAATTCATAATTTGGAGTTAGGTATTAAAAAACAAAAAAAAAAACTAACCCATTCTATACACCAACCTAGAACCCGGGCTTTGAAAAGTTCCTCTTCGGAAACTTTATTATTTTTTACAATTTTTAGGGTATCAACCACAGACAAACCACGATTCAATTTTCCTAAGATTTCCAACGTAGATAGAATACATAATATTAATGATGTTCATAGTATAATTTGAAGATAAATAATTAACTGTACCTCCAGAAACATTATGATAAAGATTCTAAAGTAATCAATAAATTATACACATATTATTTATATATTTTACATTTTTCATTATCAACGAGAGTTATAAATATATTTTAAAAGCTAAACTGACTTTCTTTATCCATTCGACAGACTCTGTGGGAAATTTATACTCTCGAACTAGATCAAGAAATTCTTCGACGAGAATTTGAAAGACTTTTAAAAACTCTTGCTTATCTGACTCTTTAGACATTTTTGTTTTTTTGCGGGGAAAAACGATTATTTTTATTATTTAGTGTCATTTCCACACACAATTTGATGACGATCTCGGCGGATTATCAAAATCAGCTAATCCGTATATACGTATATAACAATTTAGGTTTATCGTTATCGTTATGGGGGTTTCTTAAAGCAAGGCAAGCCATTTAGCCGGCTTAGCCACCAAACGCCACATCTGATCTACTGCACATGATCTGCAGCACATGATTAAAAAATATCCAATCAAAATTAACCACATACGTATATCTGTTCGCGTTCTCTACTTTGTAGGTAAAAGCTTTGCTAATTGTCATTTGCTTTTTTAAACATTATCTTGCATTCACCCTCCTTTCTAAGATTACTTTCGCTCTTTAAAATAATGATTTTTGTCTTGACATAAGTTTTATGGATCAGGAGATCATTTATTTTATCATTTATTCCTTTATACAATATAGATCTTTTCCATGATTCAAAAATATTCTTATTTTTAATCAATAATTAGATGAAAGAGCATAGTTTTACATAATATTGCAATATTGATCTCTTCCTTTATTAAAATTGCATGTTGTGTAGTATAGGTGAAAGGGGAATGTTTAGAAGTTTGGGAGAGTATAAACTTAATAGTACAGTCGACTCTCTCTATAATGAATCTCTTTATAATGAACTCTGGATATAACAAACTTTAGATTTTTAAATTTTATATTAGTTTGTTATAGAGAGAGTACTGGACTCTAGAAACATAGTGATTTTATTTAATGAACTTTTTTTTCTTAACAGAACCGTCAGTTCATTAGAGTTGACTGTATTCATTAGTATTTAATACCTCTGCCAACAGTTATCATTTCAATATGACAGTTTGGGAAAGAGGTAGAGGAAAAATTTTGTTTTGAATAATTGTTCAATATGATAGAGAGATTATTGTGTTTCAGGTGAATTATTTAGAGTTTATGATTTGTATCAGATTTGGGAATTTCTTCATTTTTCTACTTCAATATTATTATATTTCTATATAATTCTTCGAGCCATTCTTGTATTGCAGGCTTAATTTGTTTTTGAATGATTATTTATTAATATTGAATATATGATTAAAAAATAAACAAAACAAATATTGTTGTGTTGAGATTACTACACAATTCAAAGCAAATAACATTGTCATTTATAAATGACTACAATTAGGAGTATTGTGATTTGAATATTTATCACAATAATTCTATACTTGACAATGTCAGTTAACAAGATAAATTGAATAAGAGAGTTAGATCAAAATAAGAATATATAAAATTTTATCAAATTTTCTCTATTACTAATAATATTTTCAGGATGACTCTTATTAAACCAGAAAAATGATATCTAGATAATGATACACTTTCGAATTTAATCTACTCTCTCATTTAATTATACATCTTTCATACAAAAATTCAAAATATTCAAGTGAAAAATAAACTCTATTTGTTTGCAAATACTTTAATAGTTATATCAATTTGATATTAAAATTTAGTACTAAATGAAAAAGAAAAAAGTTCCACAAAACACTAGATACATCACCTGAAGCAAGGAGAATTTCAGAATTTACATTAGTAATAGATATTTTTTTAGTATAAAAATTAATGACAGCTTCTTTTGTCATTATTTCTCTTTTTTTATCGAGTTCTGAGATCATATAATATATTGTTGTGATTAGATATTTTCATAATCACAAACGATCATCTCACATGATCGCTTCACATGATCACTTTACATGATCACTCCGAATGATCATTCCAAATGATCATTCCAACCGATCATCTCAAGCGCTCTGAATGATCATTGCAAATGATCATTGCAAACGATCATTCCAAACGCTCCGAATGATCATTCCAAATGATCATTTTATAATTATCAAATACTTATAAATACAGCTTGTA